TGGGGCATTTAGACGAATTTTCCTAGGCTGTATTCTGAGTTCGATATAGACAATGTCAATCTTAGAGAAGCCACCGCGTACTGACAACAAATGTCAGAAATTTAACATGCCTACAGCATGTCTGTTTATGCAACTACAAGAAGTAGCAGACCGCCTTTTTCACAATTGCAACTGATTTAGAACAACTAACAAGTACTTTTACCATTCATATACAGTAATTTTGTCGCCATTGTTTTTTAAGATTTTTGCATCTTTTACAAGTTCTTTCTCTAAAGGAAAATCACACAAAAACTGATATCCGAACAATGCGCAAAAATTACCGTAGTTTATGCCGGTACTCTCAGTTCATTCTTCTGGTGTTAAAAACATACACATGGTATTTTTATGCCAAAAGTCCCTTTAGGAACCCAACAATACTTGGTCCGACAGGATCAGTTTATAATTCATCACCGCCTCAGTCATTGAGATTGATAAATACACAAAAAATGCTGAGCGCTTTCAGCGGAACGTCTAGAAATGTCCATTTTAAGACATCCTCATGAGCTTGCGATATCATAGATTTTGTTTTAATGCATTCAGGTGAATAGTCTTATGCCCACACGATACATGCGATTGAAGCGTGCATTATAGCCGGAAGGTAGTCATCAGCTTCTAAAATATGCAGTTCAGATTTAAACTTTACCTGAAATCTCATCACGAGAGACAGTGCCTGTGTTCACCCAATGGCTCTACAAATAATCAGTGCCCAATTATTTTGGGGTAGCGAGAACGCGAGTGTCAACGTTCGGCATACCGTGCATCGGCCTAAGTTCACAATGCGATGTAACAGTGAAACGTTTGGTATAGTCTTGCTTTCCTGTAGATTCATAGGTCAATATAGTTGCGTAAAGCGGCGGCCGATATCCACCGGAACAGAATAATATTGTGCGTTCTGGAGTGGCTGACCGGCTTGAGACATAACAGTAACAGTATCAAGAAATCGGCCATGCAATCAGGGCTTTCAAACACCTGTTAAGGCAGATCTTCGTAGAGTGAATGCATTTTCAAAATCTGGATTCCCAGTGTAGCACATTTTCCTCCTATTCAACAACCCTAGACGCGTTTTAGGGTTGATTGTAGGATCGTATTTGTTAATAGTCCCGGAAACTTTTATCAGTATGAGAACGGAATTTCAAGAGAAATTCGAGCCATGGAGCTAGATGCACTACGGGCTGTCAATGGTAATTGGCGTCACATGATCCCCTACTTTTGAACCAATAATTGCTAGGCATGCACGGCGTATACTTTTCCTAAAAAGACATTCAGTAAATGCCCTATCTTCCTGGTGGCTAGAGCGTCGGCTGTACTACTGCATCCCCTTGCTTTTGTAGGTTCGATCCCTTCGAAGGCACCGAGTTTATCACAGTTGGGTCAAAATGAAGCATGGAACAAATAACTTGCGAGGAATTTATCTAACTTTTGATTGGTAGATCTACTCACGGAACATTCTGTATTTTTGACAGTTCCAACCGAGTTTTGGATATTTTACATCGTCCTTTTGATGTTTCGTTCAAGTTCATAATTTCAAATTTGTTTAAAATTTAAAGCTGCAAATGAGTTTTATTTTCATAAAGCCTCTTCTACTGGCGCCTTCTACTATGTCTGTGAATTGAGCAATCTGATATTGCACTGTTTTTTCTCCTGACGCTAGTTCTGCTCAACATTCACAGCGAGTTCATTGACCTAATGACCGTTTGCATAACCCATTTCTATGACCAACTCTTGTCAAATTTGTTCAAAATTTAAAGCTGCAAATGAGTTTTATTTTCATAAAGCCTCTGCACTGCTTTTTTCTAATTCCTTTAGAAATTCGTGCTTTAGACTTCTGACCTAATGACCGTTTGCATAACCCATTTCTATGACCAAATCTTGTCAACCCAAAGCTTACAAATAAAGAGGCTCTTAAAAGCTCTTCATTATTTTAATATCACACTTTATTGTAAAATTCTTGTTCTAGGCAGGAGACTTTGATTTCTGTCATTTGATGTAAAGATAGAAGAGCACTGACAAGGATGTCAAACATTTAGGGTTTAAATAATAATAAAGGGAATGTTTAGGTACCAAGCAACATGACCTCTGATCGGTAACCAGAGCTTCTGATAGCCAACAAACATCAGAGGTAACAGTCCATGATCGGAAATTTATGTGATGTCACGTAGTTTAAAATCAACCTTGTTGGTTTCCCCTAAATATTCGTGCATATTCAAGAAACTAGCCGGTTTTCGCATGCGTTTAGTAAATTAACCTCTGTTTTATTTCATATCAATATTTTAAAGCTAAAGCTCCCGATGACAAATTCTTTTTTATAAATCCCAATAGGCAACCATCCAATCAAAACTCATTGAGAATTCCCCAATCAAATTCATTTTTCCTTCATATATAAGGCCTTTAGAAGCTTACATTTTACTCCCAGACTTTCAATGCGTCTTATGTATGTATATGCGGCTATGCTTTCGAACCATTCCTTTAATGATAGATAAGTTACACATAAGGTCGCTTCTAGGTCATTCTATGCTAGTCTGCACATTGTCCAGGAAATATTCTTTATAATTCAGAGCTGGTTTTCCCTTTACTGCGCAGCATCGGTCGCCTTAACTCAATCAGGACATATTTTAGATTAATGAATTTTCCGCAAAATTGACTCTAACGGAAGTGCAAATTTTGAACATCATTTATGCGAGTCTACTTAAAATCCAGCCATTTAACTCAACACCTCCTTTACACCCATCCAGGAATATGAGTCCTTTTAATTTCCTCATTGTTGCCGGCGTACTGGTCTTGGGCCTATTCAGCATAGCCCATTCGGCCCGTATCATGGACGATGAACTACCTTTCGGATCATCTGAACGGTCTAGCCATGAAGAAATACACGAACTTCTAAAGGAATTAGAAGAGGTTCTGCAAGGATTTCCACGGAAACGGCTGCATCTTCTCACATCCATTCTCGCCGATTTCATTAAGGTGAGGTCAATTCGAGAAACTTTTCTGATAAGACACATTTATCTAAACATGATCCTCCACATGACAGAAGGATAATCGTTAAGAATTTAGAACTTTTCAAGTTTAAAATTTATAATTTGACAGAATTTTATGAAGTTTGTGTAACCGCTCAGCAAACGCAATTTCAAGATTACGCGCAAACTTGCACTGTGGAAACGTCAAAATCTTGTAAAACGAGTCATGTTATTATGTATTCGGAGTATTAGCTTCGTGAAAAGTTGTGCTCATTAGTCGTCCGCTTTCAAGGTCGTTGCTCTCTCAGACGTCATGAACTTAAGAAGAAACGTCCGTACTTAACAGTTGCGGGCCAGTTACCCAACTTAAAACCATGAGTAATCATGATAATTATATCAGACATCAGATTATGGGCACCATCATCCAAATGAATATGCAGTTTAGATCAAGCAGGTAGAGGAAAAATCTCCAGTCCGGACACTGCAAAGTACGCCGGGTCTTGATCGTTAGAATTCTCCAGGAAAAATTGCAGCCTATGGAATGGCCGCGATCTAGAATAGGAATCGCCAGACATGGGCGGAGAGGATTGTTGTAGTCCCAATTTATTCTCGTGCGTTAGGGCCTGTGATCCAGACAAGAGCAGAAAGGCGAGTGATTGACCGCCATCGGCTGCATTATCTAAGGTCTGGGTGACAGACTGCAAGGTCAACGATATTTCTATGTACACGAGACCATGCAAAGCGACCGGGGACTACTACAATTTCCATTAGTAGTAAAATGTATTAAGTTGGTTCGACTCTAAATACAGAACGCGAGCGCCAGATCATTTTAACAAAGCATATTTCGGTAAATGTTTTACGTTTTTGAGCGACCTATTCTAGAACATAATTGCACATATATAAAACGACTGTCGACATTTAACTGTGAGCATCACTTTTCATGAAATAACTATTTTGGGCTGGCATTTGCCTACGATATTTGACAGCTTCGAAAATTGGTCAGGTGTTTCTTTTGGTCAGAAGATAACGAAACCGATAGTTTACCTGTCTTTTATAACACGTCTGAGCAGAAATGCACCAATCTATCCTCAAGAACCGTGTAAACTTTCGATCTACGGAGACGCAGCTCGTAATAATCGGAACTTTAAAGTTGCTTATCGGAAATGACTTCTGTCAGTGAAAGCACAAAGACAAAAGTTTTAAAGTCGTATTTTGCTTTATAGCTCCTGCATGCCTTCGAAAACGCTCGCTGTCCATCTGCAGTGGACATTCCGGCACCGCTTACTAAAGCCTACATGTAAAAATCTAAATAGACTAAAGAAGACGCAGAAGCTAAGGAAATAATGTTCTAAATATGTCTGCTAAATGAAACGTATTAGGTGTGAGCTGTGGTTACTCCTTAATGACACTTGGAACTTCATTTTTATTTTGACACTTTTTACCACTTGTTTTGGTGATTTACTTTTAGTTCGTCTCTTCAAAGAACTCGGGATATTCAGAAGATTTGGGTAATTTGTTTAAAGATTTACGCAGCCGTTTTTAAGACAATCTGCTAGTAAAACGTAAGTACACGTTTTTGCGTGGCTGAAGGCCGTGGATTCAAATGAAGATTCGGGATCGATTTATACACTTCTTCACCCCTTGTCTATTTCATGCTGAATCTAATTTCAAATAAAAGCCTGGTTCTGTCTGACTTCATTTATTATTTTTCTATGCAGGCTTATTCTACACCACGTCGCCTTATTCTACCTAACCATTGAATGCTTAAAAATTACCTTCGTTTTTTGTGAATTGTCGGGTCTCAATCAATTGAATATGTCTAGGAGGACGAGCCATATCCCGAAATAAACTAACCTGAAGCATAAGTAGTCTTTCACGATCATTAGCACACACGTTAACTTCTAACAAACTTATGCTGCATTTCTGAACTTGGGCGTATTTACTGAACAGATAAGGAATTAACATTTTGAAGCAGGGTGTGCTGGTTTTCGTTATCACTATAGGTAAGTTTAAATATTTTTCGGGAAACGAAATATTGCATTAATGGCTCTACTAGTTGACGTAGCGCTTGTTTAACATGTATCACATTAACAAATATGAAATATATGATACAATAAGAGGTGACGTACATCACGAATTTAATAAGAAAATCACTGTAACTAATAATTCGCACGACGCCGGTATGGCTTAATTTTACACCATTGACGAAGCGACATTTCCTTGAAGAGGGAATACTACCCTTAACGGATTATTATTTGGAGAGGACAAATTCAACAAACGGTCATTTTCCGTTATACCTCGTCGGGCCTATGCAATAATATAATTAAGTTAAATACTGGTCCTGTTCTACGCAGACTGTTATTACCGACAAATACAAGGGAAAAACAAGATAATAACATTCGCCCTTTATCATGCGCCTCTGTGCGGCTGCTGGTTGGGCTTGAGGGAGAGCGCGTAAGGCACAACGGAACGAGTGAGTTCTGTAAGAACGCTCGGTGAGCGCCTCTCTACCATGGTCCTGTTCTAAATAATAAAAGTGCTTATGCTTCGAAAATCGAAATTATCCCGGTTGACGAGACCAAGTTCGGAAGAGAAAGTCATAATAAGGAGCAAACTGAGGTCATAGAAGTACAACGCATCAAATGTCTACAGAGACTAGCAAACTAAGTTCTTCTTAGCACTTTAGTATAAGGATCTCCCAAACCAGCTAGAAAAGCCCCTAAGGGTTGTATGGTTTACGAAAGATCCACAAACTGATCTTCCAATCACACCGACATAAGACATGTGCAATTTGCTTATCGCACAACTTCAGAGTGATTGCCGAAGCACTTCATCGCATTCGATGGAATATAGCACAACGCAAACTAAGGACACTTTTGTATCCATCGATTCCACAAAAACTAGGAATTCCTAGGGAAAAACGATGTTACACTTAGATGCCTTGTCTTTTTTTACTGAAACTCCGCCTACAGAGACAACATATTTACCTGAAAAGATATTAAGGTAGGGTTTCCCAAATGACATACCGGTCGTAGCCCTAAGGGGAGTTGCCGATTCACTGCACGTTGGGTGTTCAGCTCAGATTCAACTGTCAGCTTAACGCCAGTTCGGCCCCTACTACTCTATTTTTTCTGAGAACTAACCCAGATGTTATTTTAAAAAAACCTTTATTCCTATACTCGATATGTCCATGGCTTTTTGTAATAACCGATAAGATGCTTGATTTGAGTAACCTCCCGAACAAAGAGAATAAAGCTCACCCATCGTTAACCTTTACTTTCAAAAAAGAGGGGAATGCCTATCCTTTCTGGATGTCCTACTCACTCTAACGTCTGTGGAAACAAGTCGATGTGTTTTTTAAAGAAATGGAGACAGGGGAATACATCAATTTTTACTGATTGATCAGAAAGGATGCTTAGTTCGCTGCCTTACTAACTGATCTCGGGGAATATGCACTCCGGGAACACTGTGAAATGAACTCGCCTTTACTTGAAGTACTCTGTGGAATAAATGGTTTCCGACAAGTTTGTCGTGAGATTTATCGAGCAGAGCGAGCTAAAACATACTTACCGAAGGCTAAACAGGGGATATTATCCGCACTGCCGTTTCGAGAGGACGCGACTAACGAATATTTACAACATAACCCTGTTATTGCGCGTGCATGCCCAGACGCAAAGATGAGACTAATTTCCTCAATTAATCCACTTCTTGGTTAAGTTGGTCGAACGTGGAGAGATCTATCCAAGCGGATGAGAGAGCACCATCCTGCCTTATTAAATTATGGCATGGAAAGGCCTACCTCTAGCGCACTTGTGGCCCACCTGGTAGACAGTGGCCATCGGATACACGTCAAACAAGCATTTTGAGTCACTTGTGAAGCGCCACTAATACACTCCATGTTCCTGCAATAGTGGATGCTTGCGATGGCGGGGGCGATAGACATACAGTTAACAAGCTAAGCCTTGCGTTCACAGAAAACGTTTATGCAAGCTCTCGATTTCTTCTGACTAAATTTAAACCCAATATGTTTGTTCCTGCCACGTCGCGCTGCTACGACGGCACGTAGGTATTGCTCAACTGCAGACTTCCCTCCATTTCTCACTCCTCCCTGTGTCCCTGAGAGAACTAGACCGAAACCATCCAAATTCTGACATGTCTGAATACCCACAAGCCTCTCCTTCACAACTACTATACGTTAGCTGTTCTAGTTTTTTCTGCTTTAACACACCTACTTATATTACTGTACAAGTCTTACGAGGAATAATCGAAAACGTACGTTTGCCGAAGTCGACTTATTCAGTGCTAATATGGGTATCCTGACCGATCATTATTTGCTAACTTCGATATATTTCAAAGCGAAGACCAGAAATCTAAAACTGTGCGCATTACAAATCGTAGTGAACAACGGGAAGAGGTTCAGCAAAAGAGATACCCGTGAAAGATAATGACGAATAGGAATATTAATTCCTTCATGAATTTCGCATTTGAAAGTATTAACCTAGTAATTCTGTCAGTAATGCACCCAAAATATCTAAGGCAGATCTACATATGCAAGTATTTACCAAAATATCTAGCTCCCTTGCCTTGGAAAGTTCCATGGTCATGTGCCATCTTGGTTCGGGTGATGAGAAAAAAGTTCAATAGCAATGATTTTAGGGCTATAAGCGGATGTGGAAATGCACCGCAATTCGACCATGAAGAGACTTTCTATGGTCTTACAATTAATTATATCAGCAAGATTTCCTAGAATCAAGTTTCGTTCACATATAAACACTACCATTGTCCTAAAAAATTATGACATCATTCTGCATTGCCGAATGCCGTTGTTGTAGTTGAAGGCATTTTTACGATATTTAGTAATAATTTGTTTTTTATAGTGTCGGTTGTTAGCCGTCAGATTGGCCGCAACTCGTGCTTGTTGATTACCCGAACCTTCAAGTGTCGGCACGTTTTGAAAAGAAACGTTTATAACTTGTTGCAGTGGTGTGCTCAGCTCACACATATCTTCCTGAACCGCATTTGTAAACTTGTCGAGAATAAAGATCTAATTAGGGAAAAAAGTGCGCTTCCAGGATATAAATTGGTAGTATAGTATAATTCAGTAATTCGGTATATATGAGGGATATAGGCAGAGCCTTGGAAAACCTTATTAACAGGTAGATGTATGAAAAAAACACGCAGATATTTGCATAGCAGTTATGCCAGTCGTTGATACCGTGTAAATGTTTGACCATCAGGCATAAATTTATCGAGTTTTCTTTTGAAGGTCTCGACGTTTTTCGCCAAGACAACGGAGTTCGGCAATTTGTTTCATCCTTCAACCAGCCGGTAGGAGAAGAATTTGGCCCGCAATTCGAGTTTGGTTTATTTGAACTTCAATTTGTATTGGTGACCTCGATGATTGGTCGGCCGCGCCAGTTGGAAGAAATCGTCAAAGTGAAGGGCACAATCAAGCCCTCTGATGATCCTTAAGGTCATTATCATATCCCCTATGCATTTTCTATAAGAAACAGAGAGAATACTTTTAGCTTTTCCAGGCGTTTCTCATAAGGTAAACTACTTAATCTGCCAATTAGCTTGATCGCTCTTCGTTGTACTTTCTCCAGTAGGGTGTAATTTTGTTTTGTCCAGAGACACCATGCCTGAACACAATATTCCAAAATTGGTCGAACGTATACTCCAAAGACTCGGTCGAAAAGTTCCTCGTCAATATGGGGGAAGGATCTTCTAATCGCGCCTAGGAAACCTATAGCTTTCTTTGGTACCTTGGCGCAGTGAGACGATGGTTTGAGAGTCGACGTCATCCACGCACAGAGGTCTCTTAACTCATTTACCGATTCGAGTTATTGACCTTCTATAAAGCAGTGAGATCCAAATCTCAACGGCCTCCTGTTGCTCGATCGTAATTAGATAAGTTGGCGTTCGTTAAGATTAAGGCTAAGACACTACTCATCAGACCATTGTTGCAAGCGATTCAGATATTCTTGCAGATGTAGAGAGGCTTCCAGCTTCTCTATTGATTTCCACAATTCAAGATCATCGGTGAACATTACGCTCTCGCAGTTCAGACAGTCCAGGCAGTCGTTCACATATGTTAAGGACAGAATTGGACCCAGAACGCACCCCTGCGGAACACCAATGTGGACGGATGTCCATTCCGATTTATCATTTCCGATAAACACACGCTGAGATCTGCCCGTAAGAAAATCGGCTAGCCGTTTCAACAGATTTCCATTCACACCCACTTGACGTAGTTTAAATATGAGTCGTCTGTGGGGAACACTGTTAAAAGCCTTTCTGAAGTCAATGTACACGGCGTCGACTGACAAACCCCTTTCGACTGATTTCGTTCAGCTCTCCATGGATACTAACATTTTGTATTAGGTAACAACACCCTTCAATCGATCTACCACACGAGAAATGGCTCAGTCAGGGCCCTCTGTAAGAAAAGGCCGAACTTCCTGTAACTAGTTCTAGCTGCTATATATTCACGATTCTTCAGCGTCTGGCAAATGACGTTGTCGTGTTGATATACACCTGATTCCGTCATTATCACTCCGTCACAAAACGAATTCGTTGTCAGGAAAC